CTTTCTGTACCATTCCCAAAACTTAACTTCCACTCTGACATAACCTTATAAAAACACAGTTCTAAGGAATTGGGATTACCAACTCATCATCCTTAACCGATGTAGTCCTAACTATCCATCCAACAATCTTCCTACATACTAGTAGACTACCCGGTGCAGTTTTTTAGCTTTTTCAAGTCCAGTCCAGGGTCGTTTTTTTTTTTTAAAAGCTTTTCAAGTACAGTCCAGGGGCGTAGAACGAAGCCCCTACCTACTGAATCCCACTCCCACTTTTGTGCCTTTGCCTGGAGCCCCTCTCCAGGATATGCGGTAAACAGACTGCCGGTAGGCCAATCACCATCCATGGCCCAGTGGGCGTAGTCCCACTGTGCCGTCGCGAAGTGCCAGGTTGATCCCACCGTCCCACCGCTCAATACGAGATTATTTACACTGTGCAGTGCTAAGTACCAGGTTGGTCCTCACCAAGTTTGTTCCATGGCCTGCCGCTGTGGGCCTTGGTCCTCACCAAGTTTGTTCCACGGCCTGCCGCTGTGGGCCTGTGTCTGCAACTCGTCCAGTCGCCTAAGGTGCCCAAGCCCCCCCAAGTCCCGGGCCTCAAGCTGTCTCTAGCCTCAAGCCGGCCCGAGCCCTGGGCATCAGTATCATCATGGTGCCACCTAGCTGCGGGGCCAAGGACCCACTGGAAGTCCCAGTGTGCAGCCAAAGGGGACCGGTAGTCCCAAGGATCTGATGGCCAAGGACCTACCTGGAGTCCCAGGGACCTTTTGCCAAGGACCTACCGGCAGTCCCAAGGGCCTGGTTCGGCCCCCAGGTCCTAGACCCGGACCTAGCGTAATGGAATTGGTGGTTCCACAGGGACCTGATGGTGACCCCCAAGGCTACCATCTCCTACCCCCTGGCTGCGCCCCCGCGCGGTCACAGTTGGTCTAAATTTTTTTTTTTTTTTTTTTTTTTTTTAGTTGGTGTAAATTATAGGTTTTTTTTTTTTTTTTCAATTTAAAACGGGCCCAGTGCCGAGGTTTTTTTTTTTTTTTTTTTAAATTCTAGTTTCAGACGTTCACTGAGCACTTTCCTTCCCCCCCGTCAAGGGCGGATAGTGGCCGAACGCATTTATTTATGGCTCATTACCGGTTCCTGACAGGCAGCTGTGGAAACCGGACCTTCAAGGCCTCAGACTACCGCTTCTTCCCAGCTTCGCGCTAAGTGAGTACAAGCATACCTCACCGGTTCCTGCCCCTGACTCTGAACTGAGTCATTTCCTTTGGTTGCATGGTCATGCTGGGCTGGAAAAGTATGCGGTGGGCCATGGCCCTCACTCCACCGCTCGCCAAATGTGAAAATGCCAAACAACTAACGACCGAATCTATCCACCTTCCAGCTGGAGATACACAGAGCACATCGGCCTGCCGTGCTGCGAGGCCCTATATCCTGGATTTAAAATTTCAAACGGGCCCTCCGTCTTTGGTTTTCGCCTATTGTCATCGGTCGGGATGATGGAAGAGCGGGGCGCTCTGTCACTACGGTACGGTAGTCTCTGAAACGAGGGCGCCCTCCTCGAGGACAGGGTGTCAGTGAGTCCAATCCAATCAAAGTTCAGGAAAGGCGTCGGTCGGAATTCCAGCGGATGAATGAAACCCTAAAGTGTCGTTAGGTGCGGGGAGTCGGCCCGGTGCTACAGTGGAAGAGAGGAAGGTGAAGGAAAGGAAGATGGTGAAAATGCACGCGTGGAGCGAATGGCGCTAGAGAAACGGCCTGCAGATGAGAAGAAAAAACGACAAGAGCCCAGAAAAATAAGGTAAGCATGCTTGCTCATGGGAGCAAGAAGACAGGGGAAGAGAAGTGGTGCGTGCTTGGAATGTTCGAGGGAGGAATAGGAGGAGAAAGGAGGGCAAGCAGTGAGCAGGAGGTGAATCTGAAGAGGACAAGCACGGAGGGAGAAAGGGAGGAAAGGACGAGCGAGGTAGACGTTATAGAACAAGAGTTCAGTCGGGAAGGGTGAGAGAGGAAGAAAGGGGAAGAGAAGGGGAGGACGAGAGGGAGGGAGGGAGGGAGGGAGAAGAGTAGTATGTAACTTGGTGAACTGGCAGGCACAGAAAATCTTCTTGGAGTTAAAAATCGAGGGAGGGCCCTGGGAGAGAGAAAAGGGAGAAGTGTGGAAAAGTGGGGGGGCCCTGCTAGAGAGAGAGAGGTGTTGCGAAAGGGTGGGCGTTGGTAGAGAAAAGGGAAAGCGTCGCCACGTGATCGAAGCGTATAGGAAAAGGAGGAGACGAAGAGGGAGAGCGTGCGAGCGTGGGGGTAGTAGCATAGGGGAAAAGTGAAGAAAGAAAGGAAGAAAGGGGCGTGTGGAAGTCTGGGTTGGGTTGGTGGTATTGCACAAAAATTAAAGGGGAGTTTGAAAGTGTCGTTGTCAGTAGAGAGAGAGGAAGGTGCTACGCTTTGATGGATTGCCTCCGTCATATCGGCTTCGGTTAAATGTGTCCTTGCCTAAGGCGTGTTTGAACGAGATCGCGCCCGCACGTGTCTTTTTTTTTTTTTTTTTTTTTTTTTGTGTGTGTGTGTGTGTGGGAGAGAAGGGCAGAATAGGTGATTTTTTAAGGGTTTGGGGTTGAACCCTATGTAACAGTGA